CTTCATCTTGCCGATTTAACGAACATCTAAAAATTCCATGCAGATGAGACAGCTTCAGGAAGAGGAAAGTAAAGAAAACTTGCACCGCTGTGTAATAAACCATAACACTCTCCCTGAAACAATGCAAGAACAGAGGAAACAATAGAACCTGTTTCAAATGGGTCCTGTAACAATTAAGCTTTTACACCGAGACACGGTAATAGCTGCTCTTCGTGTACCCCCTGAAGAACTTGATGTGTTTGAGGATTCTCCCAACTTCAAGCATGGTGGTGACACAAGAATAATTAATTCATGGATCTTTTCCCCGATACAGGATTGAGCTTGGTGCTTTCAAGACTAAGGCACTTCAGACTCGTCCAGAAGTAGCATTTTAAACACCCGTGGAAGACTTCTGGGACTTGGGTGTCTCTAGCATCTGCCACCAGATTAACAGGCGTTCAAATACATTTAGTCTCTGTGACTTCCACACAGCTTCCACTTTTTCTACATACAGAATTAGCTGCATAACTTCAGAAAGATGGAGAAAATGCAAGGTCACTCAGTTCTGTTTTTCAGTTTGTGGTTTTTTTGTTGTTTGTTTTTTTTTTTTTTTAAATCCTGATTTACAGAGTGTCCAAACAGATGATTTCAACCCATTGGCTTCAAGAGAGATTAAGGTTTTGAAAATCACTTCCCACACGCAGGCTCAGAGATGTTATTATTCCCTCCATATTATAGGCTGAACCTGGAATATCGTGACCAACTTTGGGCTGCAGAGATACAGGACAGGATCCAGCAAACAGTAAGATGGTCAGAGGCACGTGACTTGTGAGGAGAGGCTGCGGAAAATGGGTTGGGTTGGTCTAGTGAAGATGAGGCTAAGACCAGCCCGTGACTGCTTGAGGAACAGTTACAAAGGTGATTTAGCCAAGCTTTTTGGCAGTGCCCGATGATGCACCAAGAGGCAGCGGTCACAGAGCGCAGACTGGGAGGTTCGGGCTGGGTATCAGGGAAACACTGCTCTCTAGCACTGCACTGCAGTGCTGGGGCAGGCCACCGGCAGAGGCTGTGCAAGCTCCCTCTTTGGAGGCTTTCTAGACGCAGATCAACAAAGCCACGGCTCAGCCGATCCCGTGCCGACAAGGGTCTGGCCTGAGCGGGAAGCCAGACTAGACTGTCCCAGAGGTCCCCTCTGAGCAGTGCTGCTTGATTCGGTTGGGCTCAAACTTCTCTATTTCAAACTACATTTCTTTCTGTACACCCCATTTAAGAAATAATAATGTGAGATATTTCACTTTCAGGTGAATAACAAACCGTGATCAGACAAGAGAGCAAGCTGATAATGTGCTTTTCATAAACGCCACACAGCTGCCTGCCCGAATCATAAATTGGGTGCTTTAATGGTTCACTCACACCCACTATTGCCATACATTCAAATTAAAGTCAGTTAGGGTTACTTCCCTGTTGAATAGGCTTCCCTTTAATTTGATATTCCAGAGATAATGTTTTAACAGCTCGTTATTTTATTACTTTGTTGGGGAGGCAGGCGGAAAACAAGAAATTTGGGATGAGGCAGCTGTATATAGTCCTTTCCCACTCCAGAGTGGGATGCGTCTCTGTATTTGCCACCTCCTGTTCATGAGATCACGCAGCAGGAGCAGGGGGGAGGCTAACAGATAATTAAAAAAAAACAGTTTGAAGACTCTGATATAAAGATAGACTCTGATTTAAAGATAGAGATGCCTAATCCCAAGTTTCTACTTAGCTTCAGAAATTTTACTTCTTGTCAACCTATATGGCCACTGTATCAACATAAACATTTCTGTTCCATACAGGCCTCCACTTTTGGTTCAACATTAGCACCATCAAAGTTATGCCAGTATTTCACTCAGCTAGGGAACAGTGAAACGAGTATGAGCACATTTATAGAAGCTTAATATTATCCACACTTCAACTGTATCACTGTAAATAAAGCAGCACCAGTTTTTGGTTTAGACAGATCTCCAACAGTATTGCTGCTGTGGAAGGAAAAGGGCTCATCTTCAGTGCAACATTTTTATCAAGTTGCTTCACTCGGACTAACCTTGAGAGTACATGCTAAGAAACAGCATTTCAGCTACACGGACTGATTCGATTACGAACACAGAGTGATTAGATTAGCAGCAGATGACTTGGAAGTCAAGCTGCTGCATCCCCACTGAATTACTCGTTCCATGAGCAGCAGCACTCCCCCCTCCACCTATCCCTCCGCACAGGCCAGGCACTTCAGGCTTTAAGCATTACTTTAAGCTTCTTTAGACACCAAGTAAACAAAAGGCAAAATTTAAATCTTGCCTCCTATCGTACCAAACCCAATCTGCTATCATACAATGTCAACAGTTTGTCTATCAGGGTCAAAACGACGATTAAAAGCATTTCATAGGTCACAACGTTTCATAAATGAAACAGCTCTAAAAGGAAAGCTGACATCTAGCTTACCGGGAGGCCACACGGACCAAGAGACAACAGCTTTGAGCGAGACCATTTTCTCTGATCTAGTTATCAGCAACCAGGGCAGAAAAAAGATAAAAAACCAAACCTACTTTAAACAAGTGAAGGTAACCATGCAGACACGAGCATAAGACTGTATTCCAACGTGGCTGAACGGACACAACCTGAGGAACAAGCTGTCTTGAGCCAGGGCCTGGGAAGTTAAATGACCAGGGTGCTACTCTTCAGCTCAGCCCTACCAGCCACCAACCTCTGGCTGTTGCCGAGTTCAGCTGAGAAGTACCAACTCATTCAACCAAAGGAACTTGCAGCCATCTGCCCATCCCCTTGATTTAATTTTTGTAATCAATTTTTCCTGAGTTCTGTGAGTTTAGCTAACATACTGAAAACACTTTTAAATTAACATGAAAGGGGCTTCTTAAGAAATCTGTACAGACAGTCCCTGAATTGATGCAGGCTCATGAGAAAAAAACAGAGGCCAACGATAGCTGCTTATTCAAAAGGATTATAGTACCAAGCCTGTTGTTTCTGTAAAGAGGTTTTGGCTGTGTTCAAATTGTTGACAATACTGTTCCAAGGAAATTTTTCAGCAACTCACCGGGTTATTGGTTTTTTTTTTTTTAAATAAAACAAGGTGTAAAAAATTCCATCTTTATCAGCATCACCTAGAGCATACCCTCTGATTCTGCATAGTAGTTTTGGGCTGAGCTAACCTATAGTATGCTTATCCTCCTGAGCCTACCTAGATCCACCTGATCCTAATTAATTCCCAGCTGGGAGCACTTTCCTGCACACACTAGGAAACCTTTATGAGAGTCACCAGCCCTCCACCCCTCTCTTCCATCCCCCAAGAAGGAAAAAAACTCATACTGCAAAAATATTTTAACTCAGTAGGGCCTTGTTCTCAGAGCCATTATTATCACAAGATTAAACAAAGCTGATGGTTTCTATCCAAAGTATGCAGGTCTATGACTTTTTGGACTTTATTTGGGCCTTTTATTATTCATTTTGAAATTCAGTGTATTATATCTCATGTTATTTACCCAAGAAACACAGCCAGAGCATGAGATACGTGGGCATCACCTGTTTTGTTCATTCCAACACAGTGTATTTGAGTTTGTATAGAGGTTGCATGATCTCTCCACTTTCTCCTCTGGAATCTTTATCACAATATCATTGAGAATATGCATTAATCCATAATTACTTTAACAAAAAAAAAAAATCCATGTTTGAGTCAAAATGTAAAGGAAAAAAAAGAGGAAAAAAAGAAATCTGGAATCTTTCTAATGGTGTTTTAAGGCATAACAAACTGCAGCAATTTATTTCACCATATCCAGTTGTAATGCTAAACCACAGATAAACATTACTAATGTAGCAAGAATGTGTTTCTTCCTTCTGATGGAGGTCCAAGATTGCCCTCTTGAGTATGCCAAACAGCATGGGGTACATCATTTACCATGTGATTGGCGCACACTTGAGTTTTGAATCAGTTTGGAGATGAAATTGTTGGCTAAAGCTCTGGAAATTCTGACTCTAGAGCTGTCACGCAGGCTGTCTTGTCTTTGAGAAAAAAAATAATTCTTTTTAATAACACATGTTACTTGGCCTTTTATCTGTTTTTACATTGTTCATTAATGTTTTGCATTTCTACATATTGTGCAGCACCCCAAGAACTTTAGTAGGGGGAACTTCATAAAAAGAAAGAAGTTAATTATTTCAGCATGTGCTAATAAAATTGCTACATGTTTGGGGAAATATTCTAATACAATCTATTTCAATGGCGCACAAAAAGGTCGGCCATTGCATGCTGATACAAAAAGATATATCTGTTCACTGAAAGGCAGAAATAATTTCTTAACATAGCTTATTTTCCAGGCGTCTCTTACAATGCAGGGAATTCTAAGGGTTGAGGGTTTATTTTTCCATTTGAGGGTTTATTTTTCCATTTATCTTGTAAACAAAGGAAATTATCCCATAAACTTCTGCTTAAATTTTTTTACTCCACATTATTTTGCATAGCAACAAGCTTATTTCTAGTATATTTTAAGACACACAGTTTGGTTTGTTATTCTATTGATATTAATGGAAATGATCCAGAAGAGGAAAACACATTATTTGGGTCTGACTCTTAATGACTTCCATATCCTAAAGCCAGTAAGTATTCTGGGAGCAGAGCGCTTGGAGGATTGGTTCTGAATTCACTTCCTTAGGGACACGTAACTGTAAAACCATCAGTTCTTTTCAGATCCAGTCCACGTCAAACTCAAACCCTCATGCAGCCTTCCACTTGAGCTTTTTTCCCCTTACTGCCATGAATGACGCATACATACAGATACTCACATTTTGTGAGTGCACGCAAACATTGTTTACAACATCCTTTCTTTCTTTACTTACACAACTGCTCAGTTATAACCAAACAATACCGTTATTTTGCAGAGCAATCTAATACGCAGCTTTTTTATCTAGTTTCTCTAGCGGCTAGTAACCTGCCTTCGTACCCACGAAACCTTTCAGAAAAGTTTCTCTCTTACCTGAACGTGCAGTTTTGGCTCCCTGTTGCAGTGAACCCTCGAGGATCCAGTCCCAGTATATACTTCCGTCAACACAGATGCTGCCAGCTGCTTGAGGTACAGCCACACCACTGATTCTGCAGTTGAAGGAGCTTTTGTATCAAGATGAGAGTCAATCAGTATCAAATAACACAAGTACAATCATTACCTCTGTTCTAATAGTGGTATTTCTAAAAGTATGTACAATCATGCTTTTCCTTATAATGCTCTTCTTCATTAAAATTTTATAGTAATGTAAGTCTTCAGAGTAACACGATTGTTAATTTCAATGAACTCTCAACTGTACTACTACATTCACTTCACATAAATGTTTATTTCATCATCCAGTTGAGTAACAAGTACTTCAGATGTCGAGAAAGAGAGCTGATGATGATAAGTCAGTGCTACAAAGGTGTTTTCATAATTAAGATTGCTTTTTGGCTGCAAGTTTTTTCCATTCTCGGGAACGGGTTTTTCAGTGCGACATTCTTCTGAGTGGTGTTTTGGATATCGCCTATAAAACGGGCTCTCAGTATTTTGTTCTTTCACAAATGATGCCTGATAAGTGGTTAAGCCATCCTTGCTGCTAGGAACTGATTCTTGAGCCCATAGGAAGAAGTTCTGTGAGTTCTGTTGCCATCTCTCTGGTTCCACCTTCTTCCGGCCCATACCCTAGAAAAAAAATTGAAAGAAAAATTCACGTAAACATATGACTTATGAGATTCAGCTGTGAAACTGTGACTGTAACAGTCACTACCCCACTGGGAAGTTAACAAAGCTGTTACCACAGTGATTTCAAGAACTTGTGGCTGATCTTCAGCAAGTTAAAAATAATATTGTCAGACTTGCCTGTATGAACATTTCTGGTTGCATACATAATGGGAAATCTGCTGACCTTCCATCTCTTAGTACTAATAAACCACTCATACTTTGCATTTCTGTAGCATACTATATACTCAAAGCTATTTAGCTATACTCAGCTAAATTAATCTTCAGAGTAACTCAAAGAAATAGGTTAATAATTTTATGTTTGGACTACAATAAAGAAACTGAGACAGACCACGAAATCTGAATCTTCAAAATCTATCCTTTGTGTGTCCAAACACAGAGAGACGGAGCCTGATTTTCACACTCCATAGCTTGCAGGAAATTTATTTGGAGTTATGGTTGATCAGTATCTCTAATACTATAAGACACTGCACAAAGTGCACAGAAATGGAGATTACTCTGTGATTAATGAATACCAAAAAATCTAGGTCTAAAAGAGTCCAAAGTCAGACAGAATTCCAATATCACAACTCGCTTCCTTCTCCTCTACTCACTATCTTGTGAACTGTACTATTTATTTTGCTGCCTAGAAAAATATCAACAATCTAAGAACCTGGAAAAACATGAAACTGTTGCACATGCAGAAAAGCCCAAACCAATTCAAATTCTATTAAAAGTTGTGGCTTCTGTGACGTACATTTAAACAGGTATATTATAAAAAGATCTGGATTGGAAAATAATGCATTCTGGAGATAGACTGTGGGTGTCCTATGGATTTTAGTTAAACCTCTGATAAAGATTAGTCCGAACCAAATATGTGGGACTGTGAATTACGGGTGGCTGAGACCCCTACAAAAGTTCACCCCAAGGCCAATCACTTAGCATACCAATAGGGCATACAACTGGGTACAAAACCATGTTAATATGTAAAAACCAGGACCACTACAAAACACCTGTCAGAGACACAAATCATGGGGCTTTTGTTCCCCTTGAATTCTGCCACTCTCATGTGCGCTGCTCTATACCTGAGCCAGTCCCACAGGAGTTACATCCCTACACTACTCAAAAGCGTGGCTTTCTTTGCTGTTTGTATTTTTCTCTTCTCACAATTTCGACCATCTATAACTTTTGCAGGGAGAGAAAAGATACTGGGTTTAATCTCTGGCAGACTGCGAGATAATGAACTTGCTTGATTTTTCTCAGGCTGGATACTTACAAAGTCAAAATACTCTCCCACATTCTGTAGACAGTGTCTGTTGTCATGAGAAGAAAATGGGAAATTGTTGTTCACTGCTCTCTGAAAAAAAGAAATTATAGCAAAAAAAATGAAGTTTCACATACCTTATTTGGAGTCTAATAGTCTTTGTTCTCATATTCTGACAGATGCTGAAATTACAGCTGCCTATGGTCTAACACAGAAGTCATATTCCATGTTAAAACTTCAACTGCACATAATTTTATAGGGGTAATGTGGACCCCCCGTATTTTAATTTTTACAAAATCATCAGGAGGATTTGCGTTCCCTTGACTTGCTGAATATATATATAATTAATATAAAAGTGTGAATTTTCAAATTAAGAAATGATACATCCTGTCTGCAAGCAGCAAAATACTAGATACATGTCAGGATTGCCTTGTCAGATTCACTAGTAAGCCTAAAGCTAATTAAAATAAACCACATAAGGGACCCCAAAACTGAATTAATCTATGATTTACGTACTGAATGTCATGTACACTGCTTGTTGCAGGGGAAGTAGAGGAGGTATTAATTGCATAACTAATTTATAATCTCATTCTTTAACATAATGTTCATCCAGTCTCTAAAATGAAACTACAGTTTTAGAAGAAAAAAGGACAACTGCAAGGGAACTATTTTAAAAGTAATTTAACATATTTAATTTTTAAAAAGTTTCTGATATTTCATTGCAATATTATTAAAATAGCTAAAAACTGAAACACTAAAACCTCTTCTGGACTATTAGATTGCCTCTGTTCTTCCCCAAGCATTATTTTCCTGCTTCATGTTGGGACTTTCATATTTTTTCTGTAAATGCTCTAGCAATATTTACTTTTACCATTGTGGAACACATTTTTCATCTTCCAACTAGTTTTAATGTAACACAATTTAAAAAAGAGTATTTCAAGAGTACGTGAATGTGAAACTGGATGCCTGATCCAGCAAGAAGAATCATCAAATACAAAATCGGCCTGCATGGAGTCAGCTGCATGAACATATCTTAGGGTATTTGTTGTACTAGACAGATTCTCCACCTTTTTTAGGTATGTACCACACGTTCACTTGTTTTCTCATACAGATTCAACCAGATTGCAGTTCAATGGATAAGTAAATTCAACGGATACATTCTCATATATGTGTTTAAAAATAAGCACCTGCTAAGTCAGTAAAATGTAAGACTTATCAAAATATCCTATGCAGCTACACATCAATCTTAACATTTTAGGAACAGTGTTTATTACTAGTGCCTATATGCTGCAGGAAAATTGAATACCGAGATGGTAAATACTGAATGTCATCTCTTGGAAGGATTCTGCATATTAACGAATGGTTAAAAAGATCTATTACACAATAACTATAGGACTATCACGAAGTGAGAAATAAGAGGTAATATAAGCTTAAACAGTACTATACTTCTGAGAAAATTAATCAGTCTCGCAGCCAGTGAGTTCCCTCACACAAAGAGACGAGAGACATCCAGCTTCACACGCAGTGAGCTTGCAACACTGTCAGCACTTTTTAAACGTGTCACATAAACAAACTTCCTCAGATTATTTCTGGGACATCACATTTTAGCCTTTAATGCATCTTTGTACTCTCACCACTGACCTCATTTTAATTCTTGATTTATGACAGATAGGAATTCCACTAATTCTTTTTAGCAGTGAAGCGCTGGTAAACACAAGGCATAAAACATCAGGTGAACAGCCATAGCAGTGTTGGCAAAAGGTCCATCTAACCTGGTTCTCCTTTTCAGCCACTGAAGGTGGCTAAGGCCAGGCGCTCCACAGAAAGGCATAGGTAGTGTCAACATACTGTATCCTCATGTTACAGTATAATCTTCTCCTTTCCTTTTCACTAGCCCCAAGCTTCCTTTTTAAATATCCCTTCCTAGACCATTTCTGCTCTTCATTACAGCAAAATCTGTGAAATGAACTCCATATAATTGCTGTGCTTATAGAAAATAAAAATAGAAAATATTCTGTGCACAGAGTGGGTTGGTGAAGCAAAGCTCAGCATGATGATAAAATAAGGACATAAAAACTTGCTTATGAAATTGTAACATTTTAAATACTCGTGATTTTAAACTGCTGTATTTTATTTGTTTCCAAAATTGTCCCAAATCTCATTTTTAAGCAAGCCTTAAAAATGTTTCAAATGGGAAGCTTCCAACTTTTTAATAATCAAAAAAAAAAAAAAAAAAAAAATCCTTCGCCTGAATACACAGAATTTCTGACATTCAATTCAAAACAGATCATCAAATTTCAATTAAACATTCTCATAGGCCTTTACACACAGATTTTGGACTGAGATCAATCATAATATATTCTGGCACATAAACGTGTCTCAAACAGCTATAGTAGCTAAGAAAAGGAAAAGTAACTGATGCTGGAAATCAGCAATAACTACAGCAGGACTTTGAGAATCCAAAAGTGTAACCGAGTAACTGTGAAATATGTTCCTTCTTTAGCACAGCTAGCAATCATTTTACTCCCTGAGGCACAAAGTCTGCCAGCCCACTACGACTGCTTTGCTAACTACCATCAGTGCTATTCTTACTCATAACTTAGCAAGAGGTTTCTTGCAAAAAGGAGCGCTGTAAATTGACTATATTGCCACAGTAACTCACCTGCTCCCGAGCTTTGTACGCTTGTGGCAATCTATCCTCAACATACTGAGCCGCTCCTGAGTTCCAGACTTGTTTCAGGGCAGACCTTGTAGTTGACTCAGGTTGACTCTGGCACGCACCCACTTGAGCAAACTAGAAAACAATGAAAATTGTGACTCATTAAAACAAAAAAAGCCAACAACTAAAAACCCAATAAATCTGATCGGAAATGTGGGCAAAATGGTATTTTCCCATTTATTTTTTGTTATTTGGATTGCAGCAGCACCTAGCGGCCTCTGGAGAAATCAAGAGCCTCCCCCCGACAGCACAACTCCTACCATAAAGACCTTAGGATGTAGATCAGTAACCAGACACAAATATTATTTCTCCAGGAACTTTCCAAAAACTGTTTATATAGCGATAATCCGTCCAGCAAAACCACTTCTGCTACAATATTTTTTTCCCCCTATGCTGCTCCCGCTGCTGTAGGTTAGAAAGCACAGAACTTTTGGGGTACAGCTCAGCCAGACTTTGGGCCTAAGGGTTCAGCGACGAAGAACGGCCTGTGCCAGGCGCGTGTCCCAGCACCCCGGGATGCCCAGATGTCCTGGGCCAGGGCCTCCCACCGGGGCTGCGGCACTTGTGACAGCAAGAACTGGCACACAGGTCAGCTGGCATTTTCCAGAAGGCACAGAAAATCAGCGAGGGCTAAATATACAGTAAGAGACCTCCAGAGAGGTCTCCTCCAAGAGATCTTTCCTGCTTGAAAACTGGAGAAAAAAATCCTGCCAGTTTGCTTTAGCATGCTTCCTCTGAGTACTTAGGGCACTTTTATGAACACCGGGAAGGGGATCCTGGCTAAAGCACAAGGTCAGCCCCAGCACGGCGTTTTTTCGAGAGTTTAAGGATAAAAAAGCCCTAGAGGGTGTTGGGGGTCTCTGGCCGAACGCTCACCCAGATGCCGGTGCGCTGTTGGCTGGGGTGGGAGCACTGGCCCTTGGGCATGGCTCTGCCGCTCTTGCCCAGTCCGCTCTGGCCCAGAGAGGGGGGTGGAACCCCCACTGTGACTTCAGAACCTCCCTGATTGCATCACTCCGTGATTCCGGGGCATCAGTGAGGTCCAGAGGAGCGGAGGCAATGCTGCCCTTACCCACCTACTGCAGAAGCTGCAGAGGGGCTTTTTATGAGGGTGTGTAGTGACAGGACAAGGGAGAACGGCTCTAAACTAAAAGAGGGCAGATTTAGTTTAGATATTAGGAAGAAATTCTTCCCTGCGAGGGTGGCAGTGCCCTGGCCCAGGTTGCCCAGAGAAGCTGTGGCTGCCCCCTCCCTGGCAGTGTTCAAGGCCAGGTTGAATGGAGCTCCGAGCAACCTGGGCTGGTGGAAGATGTCCCTGCTCATGGCAGGGGGGTTGGAACATGATGGTCTGTAAGGTCCCTCCGAACCCAAACCGTTCTGTGGTTCTATGATAGGGAAAAAAATGTTGGTAAAAGTACTAAATGGTGTCTGAAAATGGGAGAGAAATTGAGTTCCATTCAAAAATAAATTAGTCCTGCACAATTACTTCACAGACACTTTACAATTGGAGCGGTAATATCTAAAGAAAGGAGGGTCATTTCTGAGGAGAAAACCAAGGACACTAGGTATATTATTAACATGTAACTTCACGCTCTTTCTAAAATCACTTTACACATACACACATCTTAATTACAAACAGTATGTTTAAAAAAACCCTGACAGCACCTTAAAGGTATTTTTGCCTATGAGTGCTGACTTGCAAACACCTGTATATGTAACCACGAGCACGCTCTGCCAGCCAGCACTGCCCAGGCAGGGGCTCCAGGAAACCCATCGGGGACTGTGTCCCCCGGGGAATTGGGGGGGGCTGCCCTGCCGGGGCAGACAGCGCTGGGGTGTGCGTGCTGTCGGCACCGTGCCACTGGCCAGGACAGTCCCCGCTCCGTTCATTCGTATTGTGTAGTGCCCAAGAGGGATGTAGCAGACTTTTTATGTATAACATTTCATAACGTGTTTTTATGGACGGGGAAGTGGAGAACCAACCAAAAGGTAAGGCTTATTTCACAGAAAGAAAATTGAGCCCTTCCTTACCGTGAAATGAGCCTGTGGGTGAGCTGTAGACAAGGCAGAACTTCCCACTAAACAAAGCACAAACCAAGACTTTGCCTCCTGGGCCCTGGCAGACTGTAAACAACACGACACTGGTAGGGCAGGTGGCCTGTTTTCCACTATATTGATGTTCAAGGCTAACTTATGTGGGAATCGTATACCATGGTGGGCAAACGGAACAAGAAAAAATATGGTACTTGCCTTAGTTAAGTATAAATGGTTCAGACAGTCATAGCCATTTATTTCAAAGGCAATTACAAAGTTCCTGCAGGAGAGCCTAGTTTTCCATCTTACTATCAGACACTGGTAACGATATTTGGGAATACTAGCTGCCATCATGGAGTTTTTCAAGGCTTTCTTCTAATGACCTACTTTGTTTCTCTAAGTAGCTGTTAAAGTTTTGATAATACAGATAAGAGTGATTATTTGGAACTTGCAATTATTAACAACACCATGTTGCAAGCTACTTCTAAGTACAAAAGCAGCTAAATGACTTTTATGATGATTTACAGAGGCTAATGTAAACCTTGTGTGTGAAAAATAAGCTGTTCCAGATAATGCAATTTTGGGTAAGCAAAAAAACCCCAAACCCAACCGTTGCAAACAAGCTGTAAGAGCAGTGTGTTGTGAAACACTGTCACGATTATATTGTCATCTCAGCCTTGACTGTAATGAACTGTGCTGATGTCTAAATGCACCAGGATCAGATCAGAAGGCTGTGGGGATAACTCATGCTATTTTTAAGACTAAGCCAGTCACAGAAACAACTAGAGAAGGCTAAAGACCATGACAGGCAGAGGAACCTGTCATTTGTTTATATTCCACTCTACTCACTTTCAGATTCAGTAACTTGGGGCCCATTATTGCAAACTCAGACAGCACTTTGGCCTTTAAAGTATTACTCCACTATAAGTTTTTTTTCCCCCTGAAGGGCAACTGCTGTTTTCCAGTGAGATATGGGTAAAGCTGAAAAATAAAAGTTTAAGGGTGAAACGTAAAAAGGTCCCCTCCTAATACTGCAGAAGGATTCTAAAGGAACATAAGGAATAAATTAAATTATGGAGGAGTTGGGCTGGTCAGCAACAGCAGCAGGCATAGGTCCAGTATAATAAAAGTTTGACTAAAACTGCTTTAAAACATTATCATAAATAATTATATTTCTTAAATAGAATTTTTTCGTGCCAAAGTGTACTGTTGTCTTTACAACATTGTTGTTACTGCTAGAAGACATGTGCTTTGTGTTAGTAAAAATATGCAAAATTACTTGGTTTACAAAGGAAACAAGGCTTATCCAACCGCACTTTCTGCCTCTGAGATCCCACAACAATTTTCAAATCTTCAGGCCATTTTCAGTCAACTTTGAGAGAAAGAAAGAATCTTGACAATGACTAGGATCGGCTAAGCTCCACGAGGATCAGTGGCAGGACAGAGAAGCACCCCAGTAAAGAAAGGCATTATATTGCCTGGGAAGATGATGACAGCCAGTCAACATTTGTATTTCCTGACCAGTCACAAACTGTACTGTCTCATGTGGCATGGAGAATAAAGGGTGTCAACTAAGAGGAAATCAATAAATACTAAAAATCACTTGGGCCCTATTCAAGGCACCATTTGCTCGCTCAGGCCATCACAGCTAAGCCTTTGCCAAATCCAGAGGCCAGCACCCTACAGTTCTTGACCCCCGGCACTCGAAGGTGCCCCATCACCAAGCGCTCTCCGGTTCCACCAAGGTTACAGCCACTTGGCACGTGTGCAAGCCCCACCAATCAGCCCCTCATGCCCCGTTCCCTCACCTAAGCTACCTAACACGGCAACGCGCCCAGTCTTCCCTCAGGACAGGGCTAGGACAAACCAAGCCAGAAGGCCCCGGAGGCTCAGCAGCTCCCCGCCACACA